ATATTCAGATATCAATTGTCGAGTGAGATTTTTGTTTGATCAAATTATTAATTTTTATTTAAAAATTAATATTCAAACATTTTATTTTTATTCAAAATGAAACAAATGAAGCGTAAATGAATTAGCCGGTACAAGCACTGTCAGATAGGGGTGGGCGTGGGTCGGTTGCGGCCACGGAACCTCCAATCCGCCATCCGTCCGCCAGATTGGCGGATTGGAGAAAATTAATCTGCATCCGTCCGCCAATCCGGCAGATGTGGATTGAGCGGTTTGGCGGTTTGGCGGTTTGGCGGATGGATGTGAATCGGTTTGGCAGTTTAAGATTTTATAAATTTTCAACATAATTCAACTTGTACACTTCCTAAAAAAAAAAAGAAAAAAAAAGAAATAAAGTATTACAGTCAATGATTTAAAAAACTATTACAATCACCGTATGTCTCATCTAAAAAAAGAAAGTTTGAAACTTTAGAATATCAGAATCACTGCATGGCTCATCCACATATTACAATCACAGCATGATTCATCCATATAAGTATTACAATCTGTGGTTCTTAAAATATAATAACAATTCAAACCACTAAAACCATGAATAGGGTAGTAGTAGAGATTGCATGTCTCTGTATTGTTACATCTATATATGTTTTTGAAAACAAAAACCAACCAGCATATATCATATTTTCTATTTATTGTTTTTAGAGTTAAATTTAAAACCAAAAAATATAGATAAACAATACATTTATTTTTTTCAATTCAAAAAATATATTCTAGTTGAATTTTTTTTTTCAACAGAATATTTAAACTCTTTTTCAATTGAAAACATAAACAAAATATTTACAAATTGAAAACATAAAGTCTTTTAAATTATTAGGGGTGCTCGCGGTTTGGCGGTTCGGTTGCAGCCAAAGGAATCTCAAATCTGCCATCCGTTCGCCAAATTGGCGGATTGGAGAAAATCAATCCGCAACCATCCGCTCGTCATCACGCATCCGTCCAAAATGTGACGGATCGATTCGGTTTGGTCGGTTTTGACGGATCGATATATCCGCTGCTCACCCCTACTCCCTACTGTCAAATGATGAAATCACGATATTACCCCTAATGCTATTTGAAATGACGACATTTATTCCTCTCCCTCCACTGCCACAACCGCCATCACCAACGTCTCTTCTATCTTTTACTTCTTTTCTAGACCGAGGCCCTTTTCTCTCCTGCCTCAAATCTGTCGCTCTCTTATCTCCACCATTTTGGGGGACTAATAGGTCTTTGGCAATTTCCCCTCTCTTCTTTCCTTTTATGCATGTATGTGTATATATATATATCATATTTGATTATGCTTGTTTTAATTTCAAATCTGGGTTTTGGTTGGTTGGTGATGTTGAGGGTTGCATGAAATCTGAATTTTTAGATTCCATTGATTATGTATGCGAATCGAAGCATATAAGGCAACATTCGAAGTTGAGAAAGTGTGGGGTTCAAATAGCTTGGGTATACCCTAAACTAGTACCGGAGCTAGGGTTTTTTCAGATCTAAGGGGGGGTTTTTGGTTCAGTTTTTCCTAAGTGTTTGGTTTCTAAGCAAATCCCAAGCTTATGGTTTATGCAAGTGAACAAAAAAATTCGAAGGCAGAATCTGGAAACAGAACAAGAAGACCAGACAAGAAGTATAATTCAGAAATCAAGATTGAAACACGAAACAAGAGCAAGAATATGAAAGATTGACAAAGCAAACAGAAACAGAACGAAGTTCAAGGCCAAGAAGGATTTAAAGGCAAAATTCAAGAATCACAAATGTAGAATCCCAAATCCACAAAACACTGAGTGAGTGTGTAGGGGCAGTGCGCACAAATCACAAATGTGATTGATAGTCAAAAGTCATAATGAAAAACTTCAAAGGAATCGACTCATGATACAACAATGAGCGCGAGATTCAACAAACAACAATGTAGTAAAAAGAGCATATGACGAGTTGATGAAGGAAACATATTCAGAAAAGTGGAAGACTTTGAAAAGACGACTGGAAAGAAATTTGCCGGAGTCCAACGATGGTATTGTCTAGAGCCCAATGGTAAAAAGTTCGCCGGAGAAGACAAATGAAATGGTTACAGAGCTTTGAAGAAACAATAATGGCGGTTCGAGAGTGGAAGTTTAGAGAGAAAATTTGTGAAACGAGGGAGATTGTTTTTTGCAAAAGTGAAGAGACGGAAAGAGAGGGAGAAGTTTTGTTAAAATTGTGAAAAAGGCAGCAAACCATAATGATGTTCCTTGGACGACGTATCTGTCAGGTGGCGTGCGCAGAAGCGACGTGTCTTGATAGCGCGTGTCAGGTACGAACTAATGAGAGAAGGACGCGTGGTGGAAACGGTTGAGAAAACAGTGCGTTACAGCTCATGAGCAGATAAAACTCTTGGAGTTCTTGATTTAATGAAGCAAAAACCTCAGTTAGAGGAACGATCTTAGTTAAGATAAGAACTTGGTTGTTGATCCTTGATAAAAATGGACAGTTGAGTGCTGGGTACTTGAAGCCGACGAGTGAAGATCTCAGTTGACGGGAAGAATGAATTTTTATCTGACATTGTATTTGAACAAACAATGTAGGTTCCATTACCTCAGGATGTCGATGTAATAGAACATCGGGGGCAGTTGTAGGGACATATTTCGTGAGAGACAACACGTGGCCAAGGTGCCGCCGGAGTGTCAGCCGAGGTACCGTGTGGCCTGGTTCTGACGCCGAGGTAATCTCGGCTAGGCCGAGGTTATCTGTGGAGATATCGGAATTCGGGGTGAACAAATAAGGGACAAGAGTCCTAGAACAGGAGAGGATCTCAGCCTGGATAAAGATAAAGCTCTTAGGGAGTTTATCCTTATCTAGTTGAGAGTCCAAGATGAGCATTGAGCTCGAGTCCATTGAAGTTAGGCTTCTATAGTGATCAGGTTAGTGCTGGCTATATAAACAGGGCACCCTCATGGGTCTAAGGTATGCTTTTTGTGTTTGGTCTAGTGAGTTAAGCACTATTTGATATCTTTAAGAGATAATTACTGACTTAATTGTCGGAGTGCCCCCGGATGAATAAATCACTGCCGGATTCTTATATTTCTGTGACAGGTTGTTTGGGCCAATCTATTCTGCCGGTACTCTCCAGCTGAGTTTCCCATTTGGTTGTGTGGTCGAAAATCAACACACACACACACATATATATATATATATATATATATATTTAAATATGTTATATTGTTTAAATGTGTGTGGAGAATGAAGTCTTAAAAAAAATAAAAAAACAAAAAAAGTTATGACATAAAAGTAAAGGGCAAATTATGTCGGTGATCCTTACATTTTATTTTTGATGTCATTGTGATTTCTATAATTTTAATTGGCTCAATTTTAACTCTTAATTTTAAATTTTGTGTCAATTTGGTCTAATTGATAATATCGTTAGTATTTTTTTACACATATTTTTCATAAAAAAAATGCTAAAACTTATAATCAATTAAATTAAATTAAAATAAAATTATAAATTCATAATTAAAATCAAAATAATTAAAATTGCGCAAGAGATCATAATATGGCCTAAAACAAGTGACATACCTTTTCTCAAAAATAGATGTTGTGGGCCTCATGCATGGACCATGTCACTGTAAAAAATAATCAAATAGGGCAATACTTTTCTTTTTTTTGAATACATTGGAAAAGAACAGGGCAATACTTTTCATGTCTCATTAATATGGACTGAAAAAGTCAAGAGTTATGATATAGACCCCTCACAACCCTCACGATTCCACGCACCTATGAGAAAAAGAGAAAAAAAAAATATACTCCTTCTCCACATCAGTTGGGAGCTTATACATTGATTTTTGATTAATGCTTAGTCCCACAAAAGGTCTCAAGCCTTAATCAAAAATTAATGTAAAGAATAATAAACACGGCAATACTTTTCATGGCTTATCAATATGGACTAAAAATTTCTCATTATTAATCAAAAAGTTAAAAAATCAAACTAATAACTTCTTCCCAAATGAATCTTAGGAGACAAACTTAAGTTATAGAATTACAAATGTAAAAATTATTAACATACAAATTTTTTATATATTAAAAAAAAATCATAATATGACAATAACAATATACAATTATGGTTCATAGTAGTGGTTTTTTATTTTATTTTATTTTATTATAGTGAATAGTTATAAATGAGTTATATCATTTTGTATAAAAAAAATTAGGTTAAATTATATTAATGGTGCGATACTTTAGTTGTTGTGTACTTTTAATCCCTATAATTTTAATTAGTTGAATTTTAACATTAAATTTATAATTTTATCTCAATTTAATTAAATTAATTACATCTATTAACATTTTTTTTTCATTAAAAATGAGCGTGCATAATCAACATATGTCATTCATACTAAAAATTCAAATTCAAAAATAAAAATAAAAATAAAAATTAAGTCAATTAAAAATATAAAGACCAAAATATACAAGAATCAAATTACAAGAATCAAATTACAAATTACAAGAATCAACAAAAATCAAGTCAATTAAAAATATAAAGACCAAAATATACAAGAATCAAATTACAAGAATCAAATTACAAATTACAAGAATCAACAAAAATCAAGTCAATTAAAAATATAAAGACCAAAATATACAAGAATCAAATTACAAGAATCAAATTACAAATTACAAGAATCAACAAAAATCAAGTCAATTAAAAATATAAAGACCAAAATACACAAGAATCAAATTACAGAAAATAACCATGTAATTTGCCTAACTTTTTAAATGTTTATGTAGAATAATACCATAGCCAAGTTATGTCATTTATGAATTTGATCATCGTAAGAGGCATAACTCAATATTATGGGAATTATAACTTTAAAAAAAATAAATTATAACGAAACATTACATAAGATAACAAAGAAATCTCAAAACTAAAATAATTTTATAATCAACATCATAATAAATCATAACTAACAATATAATAAGTTATATAATTAAATACCGCAACTAAAAATATATATAGTACATTTGCTGGTTATATAACATTAACTAATAAGTTGTGTGTTCTCTCAAGCACTTAAAAAAATGTCCTCTCGACTTCTTGCTTCACTCATTGTAATCATTTTGTTGGCTGCTTTTGCCTCCGATGCCACTCTTCCCTTGTCTGAAGGTATGTATGTATATATATATATATATATATATAATATTAGTAAGTTTCACTCTTCCTGGGTTTTCACTCACTGTAATCATTTTGTTGGCTGCTTTTGCCTCCGAAGCCACTCGTCTTCCCTTGTCTGAAGGTATATATATATATAACATTAGTAACGTGCTGTTTTTTTTATAGAATGTTAGTAACGTGATGTTAAATTTATAAAATTTAAAATTTAAAATTTAATATTTAATTACATGAAGGAGATATATATTTGGTAAAGAGTCTCGGATTCTTTATATATAAGTATAAAAATATTCATATGTGCTTTTCTCTTTTTGCAGTGGAAGCTCTAAAGGAAATAGGAAAGTCGTTGGGAAAGAATGATTGGAATTTCAGTGTAGATCCATGCAGTGGAGAATCGGGTTGGGCCAAACACCCTGATCTTGACTCGTTTCAGAATGCTGTCAAATGTGGTAACTGCACCTCCGATAACACCACATGCCATGTTGTCACCATGTAACACTTTCTCTCTCCCCCCCTCTCTTTCTCTCTAGGATATTTACATGAAAGAAAAATATTATTTATTTATTAATGAGTTAAATTAACACAAACGGATTTCTAAACATGAGAATACATATGTTTTCAAGATTAAATTTTCATATGAAAATTAAAACCAATTTCTATTCAGTCCTTAGGATTGCGAGAGATTCAAAAATCTCTTGAAAGAGCTGATAGTGTCAATTTTATAAATGAAAATTATTTTCATGAGTGCTTTATTGTAAATTAAAAAATCCTCAATATTCTTTTTTAAAACTCATTTATATAGTAAGTTCTCGTTTGGGATGAGCAAATTTTTACTTGATATTTTGACTTTTTTGTTATTTTAGTCTGGCTAAAAAAATTATGTTTGAGATAAATTTTGACTTTTTTTGTAGTTGATTTGATGATTGTGAAATAAAGAATGAAATTATTATGATTTGAGATATATTAGATCAATCTTTTAATCATTATTTATTTTATATTTTAATTTAATGAGAAATTTATTAGAAACCTTTTATTGAGTACTTGTATCCCAATTAGTTCATAAAATATTTTTGTATTCCAATAAGTACTATTATTTTCGACATTTGATCCATCAAAACTTTATCATATTTAAGGTATTTTATAGACAATTTTATCCTTGTAAATATTTTTTGAACTCTTAACAACTTGATGATGTGAACATTCATATTAAATAAATTTGACAGTGTGAATGCTTACGTCATGGAACATTCATATTATCAATGTGAACATTTACATTTCACCCTATATTATTATTAGAAGTATTTTGATAACTATGTTTCCATAGGATTCATTGAAATATAAGAAAATAATTTTGACTAAGCAGAATATAAGTAGGTGAAAGAGATTTATAAATCAATGTCCCAAATAATTCTTAATTATATTATATATTTTAGATCAAATATTTTATTTTTATTAACATCTTAATCTAATTTTAAATTTGGAGAAGATGAGATAAAATTATCTTTTCATTGTGTTAATTTCACTTAAGTTTTTTAAAAAAATTAAATTCACTCTAAAATATAGCATATGTATACCCTTTCCATTAATTTGAATGAAAAAAAATAATAGTGATATTTTAGTTTAAAATTACATAGTAATTATCTGATTATATTTAAATCATAATAAATAAAGTGACCACAAATCACAAAGAATAAAATAAATCTTATGTTTTACTTTAATATTTTTAGCTGAGACATACAAATCATTTTATACATTTAGAAAACCCAACATAATCAAATAATATAATTGATTACAAATGATTAGGTGAACAAATGTGTATATTGAATGATTCAAATTAATCTACTAAATCTAATGATTAGAATTTTTTTTCATGTATGGTGGTACCCAAAAACCACTTTTGGTACCGCAGTCGTACCCCAATGGGCATAGGATGATGGTCAGTGTTGAGCCAAAGGAACAGACGATGGTTAGTGTTAACCCCAATTATTTTTCCATTTGTATGGTTTGTTGGCCATTAATTTCGTCATGGTTTAACGTAGGGGTGGGTGGCATTGTGATTAAGACCTGGGGTTTAAGTCTTCAGGTTATAGGTTCAATTCTCCCCTCTGGGCCAATTTCCTGGGCGAAGTACAGTTGGTTTGGAGGTTGAACCTCAAGTTGTCTAATTAGTTTTGGTGTGGGTTCAATGTTCTCCCGCTGTGCAAGTCCTGACTTAAGCGGAGCTTGTCTTGAGAGGTTGGGGCAAATTTTCAAGTTATAGTCTCCTCGCTCGGAACGACTAACAGGACACTCTTGTGATCTCTGCAAGAGGCGCTACCTTGGACCTGCAGGAGAGTAGGGAGCATTTTCCTATAACCAAAAAAATGGCCATTAATTTCGTCATGGAGAAAGTTCATTTTCTTAGTAAAGAGTTGGATTTCTCTCATATTTTGAGATCATTTAAGTATCTTGTAAGATTTATTATAGATTTTGTTTTGATGATTTAAACTATTTATTTTGTAGGTTTCTTAATATATATTATTCATGAAAAAATTTAGACCGATTCGATAATTGTAACCCTTTCATTTTATCTCATTTGTCTCTAAAAAAATAGACGGTCAATTTCAAAAATATATTTGCCTTCCATTTTTTTGGAGACAAAAGCGATAAAATGAAAAAGCTATGATTATTGGATAGAACTAAATTTTTTCAGGAATATTTTACATTAATGGCCTTACAAAAGGAACAATTTAGATTATCGAAATTAGACCCAAGGTAAGCCTTATAGGTCCCTCAAGTTCTCTCATGTTGAAATCTTAGTAAAATTAGATTTTGTTTATTCTGACAAAAATATAAAATGCTTTTATGTTTTTAAAAATGCTCTTTATATGTTTTGATGTTATGTCACACAAAAAAAAAAAGTTTATTAAAATGAAAAATGTTTTGCACTTAAAAAGTAAAAATCATTGTTGAAAAAAGCCATCGTTACATTACCATCATCACCATTGTCTCCATCACCACTCCATAACCACTATCAACACCAAAGTCATTGCTATTGCCACCATCACCTCAACAAAATATGTCGCCCACGACCACTATCAACAATAAGATCATTGTTATTGCCGCCATCACCGTAACACTACTATCACCCTACTATCTCATCTTTACCCCTATCACCACAACTTATATTACTTGTACATAAGCCCCTAAGCCCTAATGCTCAAAGTAAAGATGATTGATTATATACCTATTTGACTATTTTATGAGATGAAAAAAAAATAATGTTTGGAATTGTCACGCCCTCAAAATAATACATAAAACCCATCACTTTAGACATGCATTAATATAAAAGAAACCAACCATTTCTATTCATCAGAGTAATTCTTACAACTGTATTACATGTTAACAACAAAAGCAAATGACCTATGGGCTTACAGTTTTCCAAGTCAACACCTGGTTACACAAAAGAAGAGTACTAACTCCATACAAAATAAGCCATTGGCTTGATATACATGTAATACAAACAAAATAAACAAAAACAAGAGTCTTCAACTCTCATCATCATCCAAGCTATGTCCTTGGAGGTGGCATACTACCTGTACCTAAAAATAATGTCCTATAAAGGGTGAGCCAATGCCCAGTAGAGATATGCTAAACACAGTATGAGCAATAACTAAGACATTAGCAATTGATAAATGTTCAATTTCCATAAACCAATTCATAACCCATTTCCATTTCATGACCACTATGTTCATGTTTCATTTCAGTTTACATTTCTTACCAATTTCACAATTTACATCAACGGCTCAGAACCTGGCCAACCATTTATATGAGATAGTGATTCATATGAAACGTTTCCCATTTTACAATAGATAAACATACTAGTTGTATCAACATCTCAATAGATAAGCATACTAGCTGTATCCACATTTCAACAGATATGCATATTGGCTATATCAACACTTCCAAAGATAAGCATATGAGCTGTATTAACACTTCCATAGATAAGCATATGAGCTATATCAACACGTTAACTGACAAGCATATGAGCTGTATCAGTGGAGTCCATTCCCTATCTCCTCCCAAACAACATCCGGTTTAGAGGTCCATCCCCTATTTTTCCCTAAACCGTGGAGTACATCCCCTATCTCCTCCCCCACACACACAACGTATATACACATAGGTCATATACACAATAAATCAATACATAACGTTAATGTATTCTATCAACAGTCATACTCTATGACATATCCAATTGATTAGTTTTAGTTTGCCTAATCATCATGCATTGTCTACAACAATCAAAATTACCCTCATCGGTAGCCCAAACAATTATTTCTAAACAGATAATAAAAGCTCCAACAGATAAAATATCAATATTTTCAAAAGTAAGCGATTAACAAATCCAACTCCACTATTTTACTATATAATGAGCCAATTTCATTATTTCCAACTCAATTCCATATGACCACAAATTTTCCAAATTAATCACACTAATTAATTTATACAACCAATTAGGGTTTTTTACCCCACTTCACAATATTGACCCAATGGTCTATATATCAACAACCAACATCAATAACACCATTTTGAAACCCAAAATACATATTTAAGAATCAAAATGACAAAAACCCCATTTATACTTTTTAAACCCTAAGTCCCAAAATCAACCATTTAACAAAATGCTCAAAAATCTAGGTCAAAACCCATAGTAGTGAATAGGAATCCCTACCTCAAATTCGGAGCTCAAGAGAAGAGGATGAAGAAAACCAAAATGCTCCAAACTCCAAGATCCACGGATCAAAACGAAGTCCCCGATGATCAACACAACTTTTACAAAGGCCAAAGGGGAGAGAAGCACTCTAACTAGATCAAACCCTAGAGAGAAGGGAGTTTCTAGAAAGAGAGGCTCTCAAAAACGTTTTTGGGAAAGTAAGAGAGAGAGTGGAAGTGTAGAAAATGATTCAAAAATGCCCAGCTGCCCTCTGTTATACGACATTCCCGCTCGAGCGGAAAACACAACGCTCGAGCGTCAAGAACAAAAAACTAGGTCCGCTCGGGCGCAAGAAGACCCGCTCGAGCTCCAAGACACAAGAATAAAGTACATCCGCTCGAGCGCGAAAACCAGTCCACTCGAGTGTAGATTTTCATCTCCCAGAACTTTCACCAACAAGGTACTACCCGCTCGAGCGCCAACAAGCCCGCTCGAGCGCAACCCGCTCGAGCGTAGAAAACACACCTGTAGAAGTTTTGCAGGGACTCGAAATGCTGGAAAGGTGTAAACCCCGCTCGAGCGTAAAATGACCTGCTCGAGCGGACCACTCAAAAACTGGGCAATAGCAATGGGAGCTAAAGCTCTACCAACCTATAACAACCAAGCCCAACACATCCTAAAACTCAAACAAATGGAATTAAAGGACGACAACAAGATAGACACCATTACCAACTCCACGGAACCGAGTCCGGAATGCAACAGAACAGCAAAGGGAATACCGGAATCGCTATAACCTTCC